CCATTAAATATATCACGCCACTCCCTTCTGGCCTGTAAGGTTTCTGCTGAGAAGTCTGATTTTAGCCTGATGGGCTTTCCTTTGTATGTGATCTTTTCTCTCTCTGGCTGCTTTTAATACTCTGTCCTTATTCTTGCTCTTTGCCATTTTAATTATTATTAATCTTGTTGTTCTTTCCCTTGGGTCCCTTTTGTTGTGAGATCTGTGCAACTCCAGGGCCTGAGAGACTGTTTCCTTCCGGAGATTGTGGAAGTTTTCAGCAATTACCTCCTCAAAGACTCTTTCCCTTTGTCTCTTTTCTTTTTCTGGCATCCCTATAATGCGAATATTGTTCCACTTGGATTGGTCACACAGTTCTCTCAATATTCTTTCATTCTTAGAGATCCTTTTTTATCCCTGTGCCTCACCTTCTTTGTAGTCCTCTAATTTCTATTGTCTCCTCCCCCGTGTCTAATCTGCTTTTAAATCCCTCTGTTGTATTCGGTGATAATTGGATCTTTGTCCTGAATTCATTCCTGAGGTCATGAATATTTTTCTGTACCTCCATGAGCATGTTCATGATTTTTATTTTGAAATCTCTTTCAGGAAGATAAGTTCAGTTTCACTTGACCATTTTTCTGGTGCTGTGGGATTTTGGTTTGAACCAGATTCCTTTGACATTTCATATTTGTATATGGTGCCCTGTAGTGCCCAGAAGCTCTACTCTCCAGAGCTGCTCAGCCACTGGCTCAATGTTGGGGGTCGCAGGAGAACGGTGCTGGTGCCTGGGGGGAAGAAAGAGCTGTTTCCTGCTTCCTGGCTGCTGTGCCTGTCTACTGCCAGAACCAGTGGGCTGAATACTGTGTAAGCCTCTATGCTTTGCGTTTGTAGCTGCCACAGGCAGGGCTTTTCTCTGGCTGGCCTGACGGCAAGGGCAGGAGCTGCCGGTTTGTAAGCCAGGTGTGGGCTGGCTGGGAGGAAGGCGCAGCAGGCTGTGTATCATGGTGGGGGGCCTTGGAGCTGCTTAGCCAGCCAGAGGGATAGAGCCCCTGAAGCTCCTGAAAGTTCCCAACCTGCTGGGCATAGTACGCCCAGACAATTTTATCTACCTGTCCTTTCTCCTGAGCAGCAAGCTCTGTGCAATCCTCACCCCTTTAGCAGCCCGCTGGCTCTTAGGAAGTCTCTCAGACTGCCCACCTTTCTCTTGTCCCAGAGAGGCTGGATGTGGATCCCTGTTACCACAAGTTGCTGGAATCTCAGTCTCTCCAGGTATTCTTCCTGTCTTAACTTTCTAACCTCACTAATCACCAGAGCACCATGCAATGTAGGTTTGTGCTCCCAGAGCACATCTCCAGGGCTAGGTGTTCAGCAGTCCCAGGACTCCACTCCCTCCCCGCTCTGTTTCTCTTCCTCCCACTGGTGAGTTGGGGTTGGGGAAGGGCTTGGGTCCTGCCGGATAACGGCTTTGGTACGTTATCCTGTTTCCTGAGGTTTAGTCTTTTCTCCAGGTGTGTGCAGTCTGGCGCAGCCTTCTTTCCTGTTGCTCTTTGAGGATTAGTTGTGTTAATGATATTTTCATATTATATGTCACTTTGGAAGGAGGCCTCTGTCTCACCTGTCATGCCGCCATCTTTAATCCCACCCCTTTCATATATATTAATTTCCTTTTCCTTATCCTTATTTGAGTTTTTCATATCTTGTGACTAATTTGGGATGCATCATCAGAGGAAATTAGGATTTTTGAGTTCCAAGTTTTCTTGTGTCCTTTTGAGGTTTCTTTTTCTGGTCTTTTGTCAGACACCTTACCTGAGACTGCCTGTACCTGAATGAGGCCTTATAAACTGGCTGTAAGCTCTGTGTTTGGGGTGGGGTGGAGGTGACTGAATGGCAAGTCAGCCTTCCTTGGGGGTTCCCCAGACGTCAGGATCTGGGTATCTGGGCGCAAGACCACTTGCTGTCTGGAAGGGATTTCTCTTGCTACTCCTTGAGCAGCTGCTTGTGCTGTCAGGGTGGGGTGCAGTGCTGAGTCCTCTCCACTGAGCGTGACTTGTCTGTGGTGAAGATCCTCCCAAGGCAGGATGCCTGCCTGCCGAGGGGCTTAAAGACCACCTGCAGATGGTAGGTGACCTGGAGGTGCTCTGCATGTGACTCCTCTGGGCCCTGTACCTCTTGGTGCTTCAGAGTCTGAGCTCTCAGGGCTCTGGCAGGCTCAGCTGCTCAGTTTCCTTCTGCACCTGTGTCTGCAGCCCTTCATGTGGGGCTTTCTTGCTTCCTTAACTCGGAGGCTATTCCCATCTCTGTGTCCTCTTCCTAATATGGGCTGGATTTCCTTGTCTGCTGCTGGCTGGTCTCTCTTCTCTTCTGTCATCTGGACTTACCTGTTCCTGTGCCTATTTAAGGGTCAAAGTAACATGCTGACACAATGCTGGCTGCAGACCAAGCTCCCTGTTGACTTGGAGGAGGCCGGCTCAGAGCGTGTGGGCTTGCTGTGCTCACCCTGGGGCCAACACTCCCTGCTCTTTGCCCTGGTGCATCCCTGCTGATGGCCTGGATTTTGTTCCAGGTGGCCCACGGCACGCTCAGTGACTGTGCCTTAGATGCTGCGGAGACGCAGAAGGAGCTGCTGGGAGCCAGTGGGCTTGTGCTGCTGCTCCCGCCCCGAGCGAAGAGCGAGGCCGTGGTGGAGGAGGATGTGGAATGGCTTTTGGCCCTGCTACAGCTGAAGCAGCTCCTACAGGCCAAGCCCTTCTGGCCAGCGCTCCCACTGGCGGTGCTTGTGCCGAGCCCTGGAGTGGACGGCGCGGACAAGGGAGTGGCAGATGGTTTGTGAAGGCAGCCTCATTTCCAGACTGCATGTTTAAAAATGGGTCAAGCCACAGTCTAAGGGAGTGCTGGCAGCATGGCCTAGGGGGCTGCCAGGGCAGCAGGGACCAGAAGTAGGCCGGGTGGGATCAGCATGTGAGAGACCTTAACTAGTCCTCAGACTGACAGCAGGAGACAGGCAGTTCCCTCTGTTCTCCCAAAGGTCTGATGCTGCAGGACTTGGTTTCAGCTGAGCTGATCTCAGACTACACCATTGTTGAGATCCCTGATTCCATCACCGATTTACAAGGCACCACTAAGGTATGGTTTCGTCATTTTTAAAGGCCCAACAAGATATTTCAGTTTTTCTTTTTTATTGAAGTATAGTTGCTATGCACTTATGTATTTGTTTCAAGTTGACTTCTTTTTTGCTCTGTCTTCCATTAGTGTATGTTACTACTTGAATTTTTAATTTTATATTTTGACAGGTAACTTCTAAAACTATAAAATCAAAGTAAAAGATAAAATTGGCTCATAGTGTTATTACTTATAATAAATTGTTTATGTAAACTTTTTGAGAGGTTTTGTTGTTATGGATTTAAAACATAACCACTCATGTCTCCTATTTGGAGGTCAGATACATAAATTACTTTTGTAGGGTGTTTGTCCTTAGAATATGAAGAAATATTGTTGTCAGAAGCTTTCTTCCAAAAGGAAGTCTGTGCTGAGTTGCATTTAGGGACAGCAGTGCTGGGTATAAAATAAAAGTACTGCAGGATGTGAACTCATCCTGGTGCAGTGAAGCTGACAGTCCTGAGGACAGAGCGTGTGGTTCCCCTTCCTGAGGGTGAAAGGGAATTGCTTTCCCATGGGCCCCAGCCCTTCCTGGGGGTCCTGTGGACCACACTCATTGGGGTGGTTTGGGATCTGGAGCCCCTCTCTGGGGGGCCCCAATGGGGGTCTCTGGGTCCTAGCAGGCTGAACTCAACTGCAAGGGAAGCTTCTTTCCTAGCATGGTTGAGAAGCTGGTGCCCTGGTGGGAGGGACTCCTTCAGGAAGCTTCTGAGAAACAGCACGAATTGTTTAACTGAGTCTCTCCTGACTGCTTCTCAGGTTTCGCAGGCTGTGCAGTGGCTGGTCTCCCGCTGCCCCTGTGTCCTTGACCTTTGCTGTCAGACGCTCATTCAGTATGTGGAAGATGGGATTGGCCGAGAGTTTAGCAGCCGGTTTTTCCACGACAGAAGAGAGAGGCGGCAGGATGGCCTGGCCTCTCAGGAGCCTGGTGCCATCATTGAGCTGTTCAACAGCGTGCTGCACTTCTTGGCCTCTGTGGTGGCCTCTGAGCAGCTCTGCGACCTGTCCTGGCCTGTCACTGAGTTTGCCGAGGCAGGGGGCAGCCTGCTGTTGCCTCACCTCCATTGGAATGCCCCGGAGCACTTGGCCTGGCTGAAGCAGGCTGTGCTTGGCTTTCAGCTGCCGCAGATGGACCTTCCTCCTGAGGGGGGTGCGTGAAGTGCTGGGGAGGAGGGTGAGGCAGCTGGGCCCCTGTTTCCTTTTCACTGTAGTGACAGCCTGGCTGGTATTGGGCATCAGTATGTGGTGGTGTGTGTCTCCTGTCCTCTCACTGCACCCATGCACACCTGCCTGTGGGTTCAGGAGGTAGAACAAGCCGGGTTCTGTGGAGCTAGTCCCCCACCACCAGCAGAGCAGTCTGTGGGTGTCCGCCAAGCCCTAGGAGGATCACCAGCCCCAGGGTCCCATCCTGCCTGCCCAGAGTGCGGGGGCCGAGAGCATGGGGACTGTGTGGTCCTGCCCTGAGGCTGCGGGCCCTGCTGGGGTTCTGGTGTTCCGCGCTCATTGAGCACAGGGCCCTTGTTTGCCAGGGAGCCTCTGTCCCGTGACTAGCTGTGCCCAGTGAGACTGTTTGGATGCGATGCAGCCCCTGTGGGTCCCTGGCTGGGCTCGCAGGCCTCCCGGTCCCTTGCTGATGCTGTTGATGGGAACGGGTCTCCCCACTGCTCATGTGGCCCGTGCGTGGCCTTGGCAGGGCCACTCTCCTTTGGGCTGTGTGCAGCAGAAACCTTCGGGGTGTGGTCTTAAGTAGGCCTGAAAGATGCCCATTGAAGGAGCCCAAAGAGAAGCAAACTGCACCATGGAGGGCGAGGTCAGGGTCCCCAGGAAAAGCCCAGGTCTGTACCAGACTCACATGGGTGTGTTTTCAAACACAGATTCCTGGCTGTGGCCCCCAGCCTGCACAGCCAGAGCCCGCAGAGTGGGCCTTTCCTTGTGAATTCCACCCTGGGTGGCTGGATGCCTCACGGGGGCACGGGGAGGGAGATGCTGCCTTCAATGACCATGGCCCTACTGGGTTCGGATCCGGAAGGAGGCTTCTCGCCTGCGTGGTTGCCTTCTCCTAAGACAGTGCAGAGTGAACATTCTGTGTAGATTTCCACCTGCGCCTGGTCACACCTTGTGCCTCATGGTGCCTTCTCTGCAGCTCCCTGGCTTCCTGTGTGTGCCATGGTCGCCCAGTACGCCAGCCAGATCCCCAGCTCTCACGAGACGCAGCCCGTCCTCCAGTCCCAGGTGGAGAGCCTCCTCCACGGGACGTACAGCAAGTGGACAAGCTCGAGCTCCTCCCCAGGCCCAGAGGCAGGGCCCTCGGTTGCTGAGATCCCGTGGGACGATGTCATTGCCCTGTGCATCAGCCACAAGCTGAGGGACTGGACTCCCCCAAGGCTTCCGCTCACGTCAGGTAGTTTGCGCTCAGCACTGTGGGGCTAGCTCCTCAGGGGGCTTTCCTGCTCTGATTTCAGCAAAGAAAGATACTGTCTTGACGTTTCTTTTCCTGTGGGTCCTGTCCCTCCCTCTCCTTAGGACTCCCTCATCAAGCCAGTGACTTCCAGGTGACATATGAACAGTTGGGAGGAGCCAGGAGGGTTCTGGGGGGCCTGGACTCCCCTCCCCTGACTGTAGGGTAGCGAGGCCTGTGTGGCCATGCCACATTCTGTACACAAGCCTGTCTGGATCTTGAGGGACCCATGGACCCGTGTAGCGTATTTGGCTCAAACACAGGAGTCATGTAATTGTGTGACTTCACTTACTCCGAGGGCTTGTTCTTAATTTAAATCAGAGAATTTAAGCAAATGTCACATGTCACTGTTGATCTTTTAATATTCTTGTTTTTGTATTGTTTTTTCAGAGGCCCTGAGTGAAGATGGTCAGATATGTGTGTATTTTTTTAACAAACATTTGAACAAGTATGATGTCCCTTTGTCATGGGAACGAGCCAGGATGCAGACGCAGAAGGAGCTGCAGCAGAGCCGTGGCCGGTAAGAGCTGTGTCCGCAGCAATAGGGCAGTGCGTTGTCTTGCAGAGCTCACAGGCAGGCCTCAGAGTCCTCCACGCAGAGTCCAGCCCGCCGTGGGCAGGCTCAGACAGACACTTGGGAGCGGGGCGTCATCCCCTGTAGTAGAAACCGCTCTAGAGGGAGGGAAGCAAGTGCCTCGTCTCATTCATCAGGTGAACCTGACCCTGAAATCAGCATAACCAGGTGGCTGCAAAGCAAGGCTGACATCTCACTCACAAACCCGGTTTAGAGAAACACTCACACATTAGCATGGCAGGCAGTCAGGCTTTACCCCAGGACAGACAGCATCGACAATAGAAATCTATTCATGTACCTGCTGCCATGACAGGAAAGAAGCAATCATTTCAGTAGGTGTTGAAATGCTTTTCTCACACTCATTCTTGCCCCCCCAAGTAAATTTATACCCATTCCCAATAAAATTTTCTATCAAACTTGGGTAAAAAAACGTCTTAGCTTGATGAGGCTGTTTACCTAAAAGTACCCCCAGAAAACCTATGCCTCTTGGTAAAACATTAGAGACACTGAAGTCAGAACCAGGCTGAGTTGCCCCTGCTGTTCAGTGTTGTCCTGGACATCCTGCCCAGTGCAGGAACACAGACACAGCGTGAGTGCTGAGAGGGAGAAGAAACCGTCATTTCCAGTCAGTTCAAGATCCTCAAGTCATGCTTTAGGCCCACTCAGAGTTGAGCAAGGTGATCAGACAGATAGATATACAGCATACAGAGCTCCTCATTCACAGCAACAGCCAGCCCATCATACGTGGATGAATGAGCCGCTGTGAGGGGCAAAGACAGCATGGGGGGCAGGCAGAGGGGACAGTGCTGCAGAGGCATCAGTTCTCAAGCTGGAGAGGCATTTCCAGTCAAGACCTGAAAACATTTCTACTCCTGGTCTTGACAATTTTATTCTAAAATTAATCAAAATTACACAATGTATAGCAATTGGTGAGAAAATTCTGAAAAAAAAAAAAAAAGAATAGCAAGGAAGGTCTCTGCTCTGCCTGATACCAAAGCATCGTGGCGTCACAGCAGTGCAGTGGCTGAGTAGGCAGTCTAGGAAACACTGTGTGTGGCACAGCGCTGTGCCAAGCCAGTGAGATCAGTGGCAAGACGACAGAAACTGCATTGGTTTGGAAAAAGCATCTGATCCCCTGTGTCCTACTGTTTGTAGACATTACTTCCAGATGGATTTAAGAGCTAAATATGGAAACAAGAGTCTTGTAGTATTAGGGGGAAATAGCTTGTAGATAAGCCTGTGACAGGAAGCAGAACTCAGGTGGAAAACCACTGGGCCCACTGGCCCGGAGAGCAGAAGCGTCCGTGAGGACCCGGCGCTGCACCTGCCTACCCCGACGGCCGAAGCAGGCAGGGGTGGGTGTGAGGCTCTGGGCACCCACAGCCCACCTGGTGCCGGCAAACCCTTCCTCTCTTTCCTGACCACAGGTGTCTCAAAACTTGTACTTACAGTTTGGGGAGAAAGTCTTCTCATCCTTCTGCAACCAAGTTTCCCACTCCGTTACTTCACATGCACGGAAAAAGGAAGAGGAGTGTGGAGCGGGGCCGGGAGGGGCGGCCTCCCAGCTCAGAAGATCTGACGCGCGGAGCCTCTGCCCAGGAGCGCCTGGCCCAGTGTCTGTCCCGTGGTCTGCTGCTGGAGAAGGGGGAGAGCAAGAGGTGAAGACCCTGCCTTCGGGTTTTCCTTTGAACCACTTTGTTCTGGGCTAGCAAGGGTCACGTGACGGGGCTAGTGGAGGAGGAGGCCTGTTGGACACGTGGAGTGCAAACTCCATGAAGGCAGGGGCAGGGCCCTGGGCAGCATGTCTCGGACTGTTGTATTATCCGACATCGGTTTCATTCATTCATCCTTCGAAGTCAGTCCTAAGTTTCCTATGGGAAGTGCGTGTGGCTGGCTGGCTGGTTGGTGAATAGGGTGCTGAGTGTGGGCCTGGCACTGGCTCTCTGCTCTTTGGCAAGCCTGGGTGGCATGTCCATGGGCAGGGAGCTGGAGCCGACCTGCCTCCACGTGTCCCACCACCATGGAACCAGGAGGAGTGGGGGTCGCCTGGGCCACCCTCATGCCTCAGTTGCCTCTCTGGCCTCCCTGTTGTCCCCCTTCGTTGGGAGCTCGTCTCCCACCCTCCATCAGCAGGAACAGGAAAGCATGCTGGCGTTCCTCCCAGGCTCCTCCCCTCTCATGTCACTGCCCCATGTGTCTACGGCCCTTACAGGAAGCCCGCAGACAGAGTGACTCTCCTCAGCCGCCCTCGGCCCCATGATGCTCTGGTCAGGGTGGCTGCAGCCTGCACACAATCCCCAGCAGCGCCCCACACTGTTGCTCCCCCAGCTGCCCTCCCCCCCATGTGCTGTACCCACTCTCCCAAGATTCCATGCAGCGTTGTGAGTTTTTAAATAACATCAATATTCTGATGACTTCAAATTTATATTTCCAACTCTGAGTTCTGTGAGCTCCAGACTTGAATGTCCTGCTGCTGCCTTAAGTCTTTCTTAGATGTCATCTCAGGCTAACGTGTCTTGACCCAGGTCCCTGTTCTCCCCCCACTAGCCTGCTCCATGGCCTTTTCAGTTGATGGCCACTCCATTCTCATGGATGCCCAGGCCGAGTGGTTTGGAATGGTCCCTCCATATCGGTCCTTCACAAATCCTGTCAGCTCTGTTCAACGCATGGTCAGATCAGAGCATTTCTGCAGTGGGCTGTGGCCAGTGTCGGCAGATGGAGACTCAGACCGAGCCCTTCAAGTGTGAGGCAGAGGTCATGGGACTCCTCTGGCCTCGCTGTCTTCCTCTCACCCAAGTCAAAGGCAGAATCTGCCTCCCAGTCCTTTCTGGCCGCTGCTCTTCCCTCCAGCAACCAGGCAGCAAAAAGCCTTTGCATTTGCTGTTCCTTTCTCCTGGGACCCTACAACCGCCCCTTAGACCTGGGGCCCCCTCGCACCACTTCCAGTCCCTGCCCAGATGTCCACTCAGCGAGGTAGTCCTTGCCCAGCCTCCAGCCCTCCCCTAAGCTTTGCCTATCTCGGCATCAGACCACGTTTCCTCGTGTTCCCTGTTTCCCCGCACTAAGTATACAGCCGGGCTCTGTCTGCTGTGGGTCAGGGCCGTGTCCCCACACCCGGACTGGTGCCCAGTGTGTGGTGGGGGCCTGATTATGTGCTGGGAGAGTGAGTGACTGTCATGATTTCTAGAGTAGGTTCTAGGTCTCTATCATTTAAGCGGTTTGGGTCAGATTGTTTTTCTTGAAACAATAAGCAAATGGAGAGTTGTTGTTTTAGTTATTTTAAACCATAAGCAGTAATCCGTACATTTGGATAACCCATCAAGGTATACAGTTCACTGTAGACACATAAAACCAAAATAATCCAGAGGAAATAACACAAATGAGAGAATTATGAGTAACATTACTAACATGTAAAAGTTGTTTTTGGATAAATGCCACCTTTCTCATTAAATATAAATTGGGTTTATAAATTAAAAAGAAAGTGTTGAAATGTTTTAGAATACACTTCTCCTCAGTTGATGGTGTAATTTAGTTCTACCCTTAGTAAAGGCAAAATCAAGACTTTAAAGTAAATACAACAGAAACGTGGATGATAAAATTTTTTGCTTCCTAATGCTCATGTGTTTCAGGTTTGAAGATCAGCTTCAGCAGTGGTTGTTTGAAGACTCAGGGGCATTTACAGATTCAACTTCCCTTCCCCTCTACCTGCCTTGGACCCTGTTGTCTCTGCCTTCGACTGTCCGACCTGTAATGCAAACCTCCACAGCTGCCACAGTGCAGGTGAGAGGGGAACACGTTGGGCATTCGTACCGGGATTGCAGACAGAGTGGCTGGGAAAAAGTGCCATCTTGATTCATCACATAATGTCACGATGCACATTATTAGCTTCAATGGGATCTTCTTTTAATCTGTCAGTGTTATAGAGGCCCAGCTACTTTGGAGGTTCTGCATGTGAAATGAAGAATAGAATTGAAATATGCTTAAGAACTGAACAAACCCTGTAACTGTGTGCTGACATGCCGTAAGGGTATTGGGGGGGATAACAGAGGTGATGGCGGGGGCTTCTGCTCATAGAGCACATCGTCCAAGCCTTGGCATGGCCCAGACCTGCCCCCTGTGATGAACTATCCCCCGGCAAAAGTGATGGACGAGTTGGTTAAGCTCGACAGAAGTCGGTGCTTCCCCCAGAGTGTTCAGCTCATTGGTGGTGGGTTGCTCTTCAAAGGCAGACCTGGGGCCAAAGTGCAGGGTCCTTCTACCTCACCGTTCTTCCTTCAGCAGTAAAAGAAGCAAAAGCAGTTTTAATTATAGATATATAACGCTGGGCAGGTAAAATGAGGCTCCCGGACTGGCTTCAGGGAGCCCTTCAATGGGGGAGAAAGCAAGTTAAGATGACACACTTTCTGCTTATCAGTTTGTCTGGTACCTTAAAAACATTTGTACCCTTTGACTTGGCAATTCTGCCTTAAAGAAATTACTATATATGACAAGAATTAATGTATTTTTGTTTACTGTGGCATTAACCATGCTGCCTAAAAAAGGAAACAATTACCCAAAGATGGGAGTCCAGTCAAGCAGTTACAGTACACGTGGTGGAATGGTTCATGCATAGCCTTTATCAGTGCTCATATGAGTGACTGACACTGGGAGTTGTTCATAATGGAATCAGAAGAGAAACATCCCACGTACAGGTGGACCACCCATGTGTAAGCTGGACCAGGATGGAAGGATGGGTGATGGATGCCACAGGGCATTCGTTGAGCCCAGCAGGCCCCAGACAGGGTTTCTAACATGAGTCAAATCTAGCTCACAAAGGCAGACGAGGCACAAAGCTTTGCAGAAAATATGTCCTGGTTTGTGGGTATCCCCAGACTATTTTCAGGTTCTCTTTTATTCAAATAGAATGAAAGGGCAGGGGAGCAACGGCAGTTGTCAAAGGCAACAGGCACATCCCTGACCGAACGGCTCAGACACCTGGAAAGGCTGCTGAAGAGCTCAAGGGAAGAGGAAGTTGCCTCTGAGCTCCATCTTTCTGCACTGCTGGACATGGTGGACATTTGAGTGGCCGGACCTGAGAGGGGGAGGGTCTCTCCAGAAGATTTTCTGCTTTTATTCAAAATAATGCTACACTCAGATGTTTAATGCACCGTTGGAAATGAGATTATCATGCAAATAAATTATTTGAATGTGTAATTCAGTGTTGCCCAGTTTTCAGAATGAAAGGCTGTTTCTGTGTAACATCTTTGATTATCTTACCTGTTTTCATGATCTCAGACTGTCACACACCAGCATGTGCTCTGAGGGAGTCTGCAGCTTGCATTCCTGTGTCACCAGCCACCCGCTGTTACAGCAAAGTCGGTTTCTGGTGTGCCAGACGTCAGCAATGCAGGGAGAGATAGGGAGCAGGAACCTGCCCACCAGGCCTACCCAGCTCACATCTGGGAGCCAGCTGGGATGCGTGGCGCTCTCTGAGGACGTGCACGGGGCATGCGCCTGCAGTGGAGGCTGGGAGACAAGCGGATTGGGAGGAGGAGGGCAGAATCCCTGGGGAGGAGCGCAGCATGCATCAGGGGAGAGGGCGCCTGGGAGGGTGTCACACCTGGGAGGGTGTGACAGGAGTTGCGGGTTCCACACTGTTACCAGGTGAGGGGATAGGCCAGGCCTGCTGCCTTATTCGGAGTGCTGTGTGAATCAGCCATTGGAAGCTGTTAGGCAGAGAGGTCACTCTGTCACATTTTCTTTTCAAAATGTAATAATGGGGAAAGTTAGCAAGACAAGGCAGGGCTCTTGAAAGGGTTTCTGAGCCATCCAGGTGAAGAGGAAGAGCATGGGCCTGAGTTCGCCAACTGGTGCTGGGAGAAGGCATGGTGTCAAGCCATGTGCAGACAGACTTGGTGATGCCGAGTGGGACAACGACCACCAGCCTTGACCTGGTGCACAGCACCTCCCTGCCATACCCCCACGTCCCCTAGACGCTCCAGGAAGACTGCTTCGTGTCTTCTCATTCTCCTCAAACCTCCAGCCTTCTCAGGGGGGCGAACTTCACCGGGAAAACAAGCAGTAGAACAGAACTGCCTCATTCCACCATTAGATCTATCAGCAGATCCCTGCTTCTGCAGAGCAAACCCTATTCATCTCTTTAAGGCATTTCTTCAGTGACTAATTTTATGCTTACCAGTAAAGAAGTAATGTTATTTCCTAACTTTCATTTTAGACATTATCTGTTGATTTCCTACAAGGGAAGGAGTTGGCTCGCACACTCTCTGCAGCTTATGTCACCCACACATGTATGTCTACATGTTCTCTCCTAGTAGTCTTCCAAAGCAGTTTGATATAATGCTGGTTGAAATCTTCATTCACAGGTCAGTATGACTATATTAAGGTAGTTTGCTATTGAGCCCTGTACTGGTTTATGACTGCATCTCCTTTAGGTATAAGTTTTTCCCAGAGTCAGTTGCCTTGTTTTTCATTTCCTTGGTTTCCTGTGTTCCTATCACTACTTGACCCAAACTCTCCACCCCAAGAGTAAAGCTCCTCCCAACCATGTTGTGTGCACAGGTAATGTGCTAACTCCACTTTCTTTTGGAGATGACCCTCCAGGAAACCTCTGTCTGTCTTCCTGCCAGAGCTTGGACCTTTCCTGGATTCTGAGTCATATCTTCCTCTTTCTTGATTTGCTTTCTCATTCTGATGGGCCCCATCTTCTAGCGGCCTTCTGAGCTTGCATGTCTAAAATGCCTGCATTCTACCCTTAGACAGGCACACCTCAGAGTTAGTAGGAGTCTGGTCCCACACCACTGCAATGAAGTGAATATTACAGAGTGGATCACATGCATTGTTTGGTTTTCCAGTGAATAAAAAAGTGTGTTTTATACTGTAGTCTATTAAATGTGCAAAGGGTTTATACTATAGTCTATTAAGTGTGCAAAAAAACAACATATATACCTTAATTTAAAAATACTTTATTGTTAAGGATGCTAACCATCCCATGCGATGTCAGCCAGTCACAGTCGTCACACTGGTGGAGGGCCCTGCCTCAACGCTGGTGGCTGCTGACTGATCGGGGCTCTGGTTGCTCGAAGCTGAACGGGCTGTAGCCATTTCTTAAAATCAGACCGTGAAGTCCGCCACATTGACGGACTCTTTCACGGGTGCTCACGCTGTCTGTAGTGGGTGATGCTGTTTGAGAGCGTGTGACCCACAGCAGACCTGCTTTCAGAACTGGGTCAGTCCTCAGACCCTGCCGCTGCTTCCTTGGCTCAGCGGACGTCCTGTCCCACAGTCCTCATGGCACGGCACCCTCCCTGGGGGCAGATTCCATCACGGGAAAGCCCGTTCCTGGCTCCTCTGCAGGGGCAGCTCCTCACCCGGGCAGGTCTGACCTGAGAGGTGGCAGGGCAGCCCCGGCCTCAGGCCTTGCTTCTGGTCCTGGTTCTCTTGCCGTTCCCGCCACACCTGCAGCTGCTTCCTCCCCGGAGGCCTGAGCTCCTCAGAGTCAGGCAGGGGGACTGCAATCGACTTCCTCCAAACGCCTGTTCATGCTGACATTCTGACCTCTTCCCATGAATCACGAATGTTCTCCATGGCATCGGGATTGGTGAATCCTTTCCAGAAGGTTTTCAGTTTACTTTGCCCCAATCCACTGGAGGAATCACTCTCTCTGCAGCTAGAGCCTTACAACATGTATTTCCTAAATAATAAGACTTGAAAGTTGAAATGACCCCTTGATCATGGGCTGCAGAATGGAGGCTGAGTTGGCAGGCGTGAAAACATGAATCTCGGTGTCCATCCCCATCAGGGGTCATGGGTGACCAGGTGCACTGGCAATGAGCAGTCATATTTCGAAAGGAATCTTTTTTCTGAGCAGCAGGTCTCAACAGTGGGCTGGAAATACTCAGTAAGCCATGCTGTAAACAGACGTGCTGTCACCCAGGCTTTGCTGTCCCATTTGCAGAGCACAGGCGGAGTAGATTTAGCATCATCTCCAGGGCCCGAGGACTTTCAGACTGGGGAATGGGCAATGGCTGAAAGTCTCCAGCTGCATTAGCCCCTGACAGGAGAGTCAGCCTGTCCTGTGAAACTGTGAAGCCAGGTACTGACTTCTCCTCTCCAGCTATGAAAGTCCCAGATGGCATCTTCCTCCAACAGGGGTTGTTTCATCTACACTGAAAATCTGCCGTTTAGCACAGCTGCCTGCACGAATGGCCTGAGCTGGATCTCCTGCGTGACTTGCAGCTTCTCTGTCAGCACCTGCTCCTCCACCTATACTTTTATACCATGGAGACAGCTTCTTTCCTTAAATGTCATGAACCAACCTGAGCCGGCTTCCAGCTTTTCTCCGGCAGCCTCCTCACCTCTCTCAGCCTTCAGAGAACTGAGGAGTCAGGGCCTTGCTCTGGATCAGGCTTTGGCTTGAGGGATGATGTGGCTGCTCTGACCTTCTGTCCAGACCACTAACACATCCTCTATATCATCGATGGGGGCTGTTTTGCTTTCGTGTCTTTCGGGTGTTCACCGGAGCGGCACCTTCAATGTCCTTCAAGAACTTTTCCTTTAGTCACAACTTGGCTGACTGGGGCAAGAGGCCTGGCTCTCGGCCTGCCTCGGCTTTGGAGATGGCTTCCTCACTGAGCTTCATCGTTTCTAGCTTTTGATTTAAAGTGAGATACATGTGGCTCTTCCCTTCACTGAGCATGCAGAGGCCACTGTAGAGCACTGACTGGCCTGATTTTCAGGGGACAGGGAGGACTGAGGATTGGAAGAGAAACAGAATGGCTGGTCAGAACACATACATTTATTAAGCTTGCTGTTTTATATGGGTGAGGTTCATGGCACCCCTAAACAATTAGAATAATAACATCAAAGACCAGTGGCTACAGATTACCACAACAAATATAATAATAATGAAAAAGTTTGGAATATTGTGAGAATTACCAAATGTATATTACCAAATATACAAAGTCAGCAAATGCCAATAGACTTGCTTGATGCAGGGTTGCTGCAAACTTTCAACTAGTAAAGAACACAGTATCTGTGAAGTACAATAAAGTGAAGCACAAAAAAATGAGTTGTGTTTGAATTTGATTGGATAGACATAGAGTTTTAGGTTGGAACCCATTTCTCTGTTTTGTTTGTTTTATTGCTGAAACTTTTAGGATCATGTCTATACTGTTGAGAATTAGGCTTGGGGCTGATTAATGATTGTGCATTGAGTCCCCTATACAGAATTTTATTGTTGTTAACAACCATTTGATCAATAAATATGAGATGACCTCTCAAAAAAAAATTATTAAAAAAAAAAAAGAAAAGAACATGTCTATACCTGTGTTCCCAGATTTTTCCACACCACGCTTGATGTGTTGAGCTCCCTCCCCTATTCCCTGCCCAGTATTTTTGGTGCTTTTCCAGTACATTTTGCTATTGACAAATTACCCCAAACATAGTTAGCTTAAGTTTGTGGGGGCATCAGCTGGGCAGTGCGGTCCTGGGGGCTTGCCTGTGGCCACAGTCAGGAGCTACCTGGGACTTGCGGTCCTTGGAAGGCTCCACCAGGCTGGGTGTCCACACCACACACCCACGTGGCTGGCAGGTGGTATGGACCTGCTGGGTGAGGCTTCCTCCCGGTCTGCTTGGCTCTGTGTGACTTCACCATGTGGTCTGGCTTCCTCACTGCTAGGTTGCCTCAGGGTAGTTGCATGTCTTCACACCCCCTTTCAGGGCTCCAAGTGCACATGCCTCCATGAGCAAAATGTAGGCCCAGCTTGGAACGTGAGAATCAATTCCACTGCATCGTTTTGGGTATAAGCATCTGCTTACAGATAAAGGGACAGGACATAGGCCATTTCCCAATGGGGATGAGTGTTAAGAACATACTAGATGAGAGCATGTGAGATGGGGCTGTTGTAGGCATCTTTAGAAAACAACCTGGCATGCTTTTGCAATATGGAAAATTACCCATCAATTCTGGGAATTTTTTTGAAATTATTTAATATACTTTTTCCTTCCACTATTATTTCTCTTTGGGACTTCTAATAGTCAGATGTGTGACCACCTGGATTGATTTCATTTTCTTTTCAATTTTGTATATCTTTTTATCATACTACACTAAAATTTCTTAATCTTCTTATTCCATTGATTTTTCATGTCTGCCATATTTTAATTCTGAGTCTTTTTATGTAATGTTTTTTATTTAGAAAATCCTGTTCATTCATTCATTCGGTATGTACTCTTGGAGGGTTTACTGTATGTCAGACGTTACTCCAAATGCTGGGGTTACAGCAACAAGCAAGACAGATTTCAGCCTTCATGGGGCTTGTATCTTGTTGGGGAGAGAGACAAGTTAAACTTCACCTTTCTTAAACTCTGCCGTTGGGCTTTTCCCCTCGCACCTCCGTGCACTGCTCTCTGAGGTCACCTGTCACTGTCTGCCACACCAGGCCACTGGGTCTCAGGCCTCGCTTTACAATTCCTTCAAAGCCTCTGCACAGATGACTGGGCCTTCAGTTGGCCTCCCCAGCCCCACACTGCCCTGGGGCTGCTCCTCCAGACCAGAAACATTGGTACCTCAGGGGCCATCCTGGAAATTCTTTCTGGAACACTCACTCTGCCATGTTACCTTCAGACATTACCTAGAAACGCATGGCCCCCATCCCTCCTCAAGCTACATTCCTGCTCCTGAACAATAGCGTAGTCAGCACCTGTGGCCATCGCTGCCTTATGCCCCCAGTCTAAGCTGAAACCTTCACCAGACTCCTGACTCTGGTAAATGGCACCACCGCGTGCCCAGTGTCCATGCCAAAAGCCTCCATCTGCTACTTATTGAACAAGCTGGAAGGGGCAGAGGGCAAGCAGGTGGGACAGTTTTTTTCTCATGACCATCCCTGGAAACTCTCATCTGGGAATTTTCAGATGGATTTTAGTTTTTTTCTTTCTTTGATAGTTACAAAAAAGATTATTTTGCTCATAAAAAGTTTATTTTGTAGAATCAAAACTCAAACTGTGCGGCAGTTGAGACCTCTTCTGTCCCTTGGCTGGCGACTAGAGTCTTGGATGCCCACATAGGCTGGCGCCCTTCTGCTCACTTTTCATGTTTCTACGTCGAGGGAGGGTCCTGGAGAAAAATTGGAGACTCCTTTCCACTCCTAGGGAAATGCGAATTGGTGAACAGACAGGGTCAGGTGTGCCCACACTGCTCTGGTGTGCTTTCTGGGCTGAAGGGCATCTTCCTGCAGGCACACTGGCTGCAGGATGCTTGGTGGGCCACCCTGTGACTTGCAGGCTGCAGCTGTCCAGCTGACACGAGGCCGGGAGGATGTCTTCTGGTGTTGGGGAGGCCCATTGACTAGCAGTCTTAATTGCAGATCTAAGCTTTTTGTCTGTGGAGGGCTGGTATTTTGACATTATTCATCTCATTGCTGTTTTCTTCACTAGTTTCTGAACTGGGATAAGAAGAGGCAAGTGTCCTTTACTGACCATTTAAACCCCGGCATTCTGTGAAGGGGAAGGGGCTGAGTTCCTCCTTGGGGAAGCCCCTCCCCCCAACCCCAGGCCTAGCGGGTGCTTGGGGCTGTGGGGAGGTCTGCAAGCACTGGTCAGGAGCGCCCTTCCTGGGTGGCTGGGACTTGAGACAGGCTTCTGCAAGGCAGGTGGGGGTCCCCTCAGCTCCACCCCCAGCTGCCCCTTCAGGTTCTGTTGTTACGGAAAATACTGGAAAACCTGGAAAACCTGGACTGGATCACCGACGGAAGAACCAAGCGGCACTCGGAGGTCTTGGAGTGTTGAAGCTTTATTTTCCACCGGTGGGCTCAGAGGGGAGTCATCTCCCGAGGTCTGGGCCCCGAACAAAGGCAAGGGGAGCAATATGTATCTTCTGCTTCTGTAGCTGTAACATTCCTACCTGCACAGCAACCGAGCAGGCAGGGGGAGGCAGTTTTGGGAGTGAGTGCCTGGCAGAGCCGGGAGTGCAGGGGGCAGAAGTTAAGGGAGTTTCTGTTGTCTTTGCTAAGAAGAGCAGCAGCAGGGAGCCGCCTGGACTAGACTGCTGTCCTGGCGTGTTTTTCCCTGTCACTGTCACTCTCTGTTTCCACCTTCCTCTGATTTCGCTCTACAGTCGAGACCCTTCACTTTGAGCTTGTCCTGGGGACCCCTGTTACGGAAAATACTGGAAAACCTGGACTGGTTCACCGACGGAAGAACCAAGCGGCACTCGGGGGTCTTGGAGTGTTGAGGCTTCATTTTCCACCGGCGGGCTCAGAGGGGAGTGATCTCCCGAGGTCTGCGCCCTGAGCACAAGCAAGGGCAGCAATTTATATTATTTTGACAGGTGGCATTTCGGCACGCGCAGGGCAACAGAGGAGCCCGGAGGAGGGGAGAAGGGAGCTGGGAGGGCTTGGCCAACCGGAGGAAAAAAGCGGTTTGCTGACCCTGACGGCTGTTGAATACTTTATCACCCCGACTGGAGCTGGGGCTCCCCTGGGCTCGCAGGCTCCGGCGCCGGACGTGCGGTTAGGCCTTGCGGCTCCCGCCTCGCCCGCCGCGCTCCCGCCGGCCAGCCTGGGGGCTCCGCCGCCGCCAGCCCACCACCCTCCACCGGCGAGCATCTGCGGAGCCGTCCGCGGCCGCTCCTGCGAGCAGCCTGCCCCTCCCCGCCGCGGGCTTCTCCTAAGGGTACGAGCTCTTTCCCGCCTCCGAACCTCTGCACGCGCTGCCCCCTCCGCCTGAGCCTCTCTTCCAGGCCGCCCACCTTCCGGCCCGGGCGGGACGGGGCCCTCCCGCAAGCCACCCTTCCCTGCGGCCACGGACCTGGAGCCTCGCCGCACGAGCTTGCGCGGGACCAGCCGTCCCAGGGAGGCCCCGCCCCCAGCCCCCGCAGGCCCCGCCCCAGCCCCGCCCCCATGCCCACCCCTCCGTCCTCGGGCGGTGAGCTCTGGACCACTGCCGTCGCCCGGCGCGCCCTGGGCCCGCCCCTGAGCCGTTCTGATTGGCTGCACGGTATCGGCCCACCGCCCTTCGCGCGTCGGCCGAGGGGCGATACTGCTCTTTAAGCGCGCGTAGGACGCGGGGCAGCGGTGCTGGCCGGGCGCGCGTGGAGTCGGCGGCGGTCATGACGGACGGCACGTGAGTCCGCGCCCGCGACCTCCGAGGGGCGCGAGGGGCGCGAGGGGCCGGCGGGGCGAGACCGGGGCCGGGTGCCGCCACCGGGGCGCTGGCGTGTGGAGACGGCGGACGGGCGGGCTCCCGGCGGGTGGGTCCCA